CTTTTCATTCTACCGCCCCCCTGAAAAATGAAATCGCCCCCTGGGGGGCATTATCGCCCACGTTAAGAACCACTGGTTTAAACCTAGTAGCGGCAGAAGCTGTAGCTGTGTTTATAGTTCCCATCAATGGCTCCCTTGGATTGTAGCTGTCATCTTTAAAAATGAATGAATGGAATCTGTGAGTTATAACCGACAGTGAATAGCTAATGGCTGCTGAGTAATTGTATAGTATCAAAGCAGAGTCAGAAATGAATTGCAGTCTGTCCCCAGTTTCTAAAGCTTTAAAACATCTAAAAGTACTTGACAATAAGATCTCACTAAATAGTTTTTAATTGTATTCTCTTTTAATATGTTTCTTTTCTTTTTCTTTTTTTCTCTGATCATTGCAGAAAACTTTACCAGTATCTATCAAAAGAGAAACTGAATTCTTGCTTCTCTTAGAAGAACTGGAAAAGAATGTCCCACATACTGTTCTAAAGGTCTGCTTCCTTTTTGAGTATCAACTTGACATGGCTATGCTCTTTCTAGTGCAGAAGCATCTGAACAGACTCAACAGTGCATTGACTTATACAGTGGTGCCTCGCTAGACTATTGCCTCGTGGGATGAAAAACCCACAAGATGATTGTTTTTTGCCATCACTATGGTGCCTCACAAGACTTTTTTCTATGACCGTGCTTCGCAAGACTTTTTTTAGATTGATGCTTCGCAAGACGTGTTTTTTCTTTTAGACCAATGCATAGAGAACCTCGCAAGACAATTTTTTCACAAGACGATGATTTTCGTGGAACAAATTAAAATCGTCTTGTGAGACACCACTGTACTCTGTTCATCAGGCAAGATGTAAAAAGTAAGCAAGGGAAGGGAAGGGAAAGGGAGAGATTAGATCTTAAGTTCTCATCTGGGTGTTGTTATAAGATGTAGAGCAAGAAGGACACTGCAGACAAAGTGGTGGGTCTCATCAGGTGAAACAATGATGTTAGAGTTCACCAATTCTAATCCATAAGAACCTGGGAGCACGAAGGGGAAATTTGCCATATTTTGAGGTCTCCTTACAACCCTGGGCTCCCATACATAGACTCATTTTTTTAAAAAAATTAAACACATATATTAGGCCACTAGAAGGCACAAGATGTTCCGGGGGGGCGGACTGAGAAAAAAATATAGGGTGGGATGGCAGGAATGAGTGCAACCTTCTAATGAGTTTGTCCTGCCTCACCTCATCATCTTGAGAAGGGGAAGAGGATATCCTGCTGGAGTAGGCCTATAAACTAGGCAGTGCAAGAGACAGCACTCTTCTGGAGAACCTAAGGGAGAAGCGCTGAGGCCAGCTTTGACCAGTGAGACCTCGAACAATGAGAACAAACCAAGAGCTGTGAGGTCCACTCACCTAAGGGAAAGGGGATGGCTCAGACTCACAGGGGTCTCAAACATGCGGCCCGGGGGCCATTTGCGGCCCCCTAGATGATAGTTTGTGGCCCTTGCCTTGCCTGCCCCCCCAAAGTGCGCACACATCCTCTGCTGTCAAGAAAAAAAAAAAACCTTGCCTCGCTCGCCGGCTCTCTCCCAAGACAGCACCTCTTGCACGCTCCATCCAGAACTGCAGCCTGCCAGCCAGCCCACCTGTCTGTCGGCTAAGGAAACTGTGGCTTCCTCTCAGCCTCTTGCTCTGCTTGGCGGAAAATCTGATGCTGCCCAGCCTCACCTGCGATGCGAAAGCAGCCTCAGTGTCTTAAGGTCTCTTGACAACCGTTTGGAAACAGGCGGATGCCCTAGTGAGGGACGCTGAGAGCTACGTATAAAGTCTGTGAGCCCCTTCAGTTCGTTTGTGAGGGGTAAGTCATTAAATCCTCCTGTTTGTGCCCATCCTTGGTTTTCCTGGATTCCTTTGAATGCTTTACCCCTTGGACTGTCTTGATAACCTGTTTCTGCCTTCCCTTGCTATTTAAGGTGATGAATTACTTGCACAAGATTTTCCAGCTCGATGCACAGGCAATGAATCGGATAGACATTGAGGTCATAGTCCAGCACTTGGTTCCCTGAAACATAACAGGAGATGTTTGGTTCCTGAACCTGTGGAGATCACGTACCTTTGCCACCAGCCTACTCGGAGCTGGGAAGTAGCTTCCCACTCTCCATTTTGGTGTTAAGTCCCCGCAGTGAACTTAAGCTGTATCCATCTTGTCTGGATTCATAGCCTCTTTGGTTAGTGGGAAACAGAGAGGAATCACATTTAGCAATAAATTACATGCCCCCATCACACTAATTCTTGGATTCTGTTTACAGATATCCTCTCTATTCCAGGCTACACAGTGCTCTAGTACCCATACAACAATCATCCTCCCACAATTGCACAAGCACTCAATCCTAATAGCGTAATTGTGTCATACCTGTGTGGACAGACTTTCAGGTCTGTAGAATTTTTTCTGGTTAAATTCGTTTTCTACCAAAATTCTGAGACCAGAAAACGGAATTAGTACACAATCTCTTGTATCCAATAAACCAGAGGTCCCCAACCACCGGTCTGAGGCCCGGTGCTGGTCCGTGGCCTGAGCTGGACCGGGCCACTGAGACAGACTTCCCGTCCTACTCCCCCCACACACTCACCCCCACACAGCCTGTTTGTGCCTGCATGGGCACTCCAGCACGCCCATGCGAGCACCGCGTCACCGTTTGCGCATGTACACAAGCACAAGCATGCCCAGACAAGCACCATGCCCATTTGTACATGCACACGAGCATGCCCCCCTGTGCGAGCACGCCACTGCCATTTGTACATGCGCGCGAGTGCACTTGCACATTTCCATGGGCACTCGTGTGAGAGAGTGCTTGTTTGTGCATGTGCATGTGCATGAGCGCGGGGGGTGCCCTGCCTTCCCCAGCCGGTCTGCGGACTGAAAAAGTTTGGAGACTGCTGCAATAAACCATACACACCAGGATTCCTGAGTAAAGCCCTGATATGAAACTCTAAAAAGGGACACCAGAGTTGCACAAATATCTAGTCAAATGCAGCCAGTTGATACCCATTTTATAGATGAGAACTGATATGAAAAAAGAAGCAGCTCGCTCGAAGCCAGTCATGACAGCTTTGCTTGCTTGTTTTCACCTAGAATTTCACTCGCTATTGTTTAAATATTGGGAGTGATAAATCCACCAAAAACGTAATATCACCGAGATTCCTTCCCTGTCTAACTCTCATCAAAAGAGATGTTTGTGGTCTATAAGCATGGTTGTGCACTTTCAGTAAGAAGAAGTGTGGAATGGCCATGTTGGCAAGAAATGATGAGTTACAACCTAACACATTTGGAGGATATCAGGTTGGGAAAGGCTGTTCTAGAACCAAAACTCAATAACCTCTTAACCTACCCACAGGAACGATTTGGAACAAAGGACCACAAAGATTTTGTAAATGGCTAGCTCTCCAGTGAGTAGCAATTGATCTCCAAAGAACTTGTTCTCATGGAAAACAGATCCACCCTCTATAGGCCAGATCCCAAGAGTCATTCGCATGGTGGGTGAACGCTTCAGTGCAGCCTCTTAAAACACAACCCACATTCTGTACAGAGGTCACAATCAATCTGCCAGCATACAAATTAGAGTGTAGATAGAAATACAAATCTCAGATGATGGCAGCATTCTGTTGGCACCTTAACCCTGCCTTGTTGGACTGGTATGCTACTAAGGTACAGAAATACAGAGTTATTCCAAAAGTAAATGGGTTCGGGAGAGACTTTTAGAGGATCTGTTGCCTCCTGGTTGCTCAGGTGTTGTAAACACCTATGGCCTCTGTCATATTGCAGTATCACACTTGGTCTTTCTTTAGCAAGCATTCCTAATCAGATGCATTAAGTACAGCTCATTAAAGCCAAGAATATGGAGAGGTTTTGACACTTCAGAGCACGCATTATTGCTTCATGAATTTCAACATGCATTCGTGGATTTAGTTAAGAAAAGAAACAGGTGAAGTCATCTTACATTTCTTACCAATAAAGGCAAGCATGTTACTGTTGCCACTACTGATTTTTGACTTTTTATAAGTTATTACCAAATTATCAAAGGCAGTTTTTATTTAAAAAAGAAAGCCAGGTAGGAGCAGCAGCTGCAAGCTCTATGTGACTTTTAATGTGCAATATGTCAACGGCTGTTACACTGAAAACAAACATCAGGCAAAACATCTTTGATTACTGTTAGACAATGGAAGAATAGCATTTTCCATGGATTGTTTTTGTGCATTGCCCACATGGAGTTGCTCAATGAAACCACAGTGCACGAATTTGTTCTGCTTGGCTTCAGAGTTGGGGAACGGGGACGGCTCCTTCTTTTCATTTTCTTCACAGCTTACACCCTGACTTTGGCGGAGAACTTGATCATCATCATGCTAATCACTGATAAATATTTTGCACAGGCTAAAATTCAAAATAAGATATTTTCAGAGGCAGAGAGGGAAGTTCTTCTGATCAGGCAATGCTATATCTCTGAAAGCATTAATGAATTTCTTTCAGTTTCCGTGTATCTATGATACAGCCACAAACTTATGCTTCTGAACTGTTTTCTAAGTGCTAAACAGTAAATATTATTGTTTTCAGAACCAAAGCGCTGCAGTCCTTATAATGCTTTTTGGAAATGCTGGTGTGTATCATAGTGGTTTTGCTTAGGTTAAGGAACCAGATCCAAATTGTCTTATTGTAACACCCAATAACATAAATGAGAGAAAAGATTGTGTGACCCCACCTCGATACAGAAAGCCTTTGTCAACCAGACCTTTAAGATGCAGAAAGGAATGAGAACAAGATAATTTTAACACTTAAGAAATGAGAGACACTTTATTTATTTACCGCCCATATAACCAATGATCACTGTAGATGGTTTACAAAAAAATTGTAGGACATAGAACAATGTAATAAAAAAACACAATCAATTAATTAAATACATTTAAAATATTAAACAAGTTAAAATTGGCGGCAGTTGAGAAAGAGACTGATAGTTCAATTCAATGTATTGTCATTGAACGTATATACACTGTATGCACATACAACAAAATTCACAAAGAACACTCAGAGACCAGACCAGAACACACACTCACCCTTGTAACAATCCCCAAGTCCCAAAACCCCAACCAAGATCTCATAGTATCCACACAACATACAACACAACAGACCAAGTAATAATAATACAGTCCAACAACTCACTGCTGATGAGTCTTAAGTTCCTTGTGAAGTGCAATTATAGCTCCAGGATAAAAACTGTTCAAAAATGGTATCATCCGAGTTTTAATTACTCTGTATCTTCTGCCGGAAGGCAACAGTTCAAAGAAGTTATAAGCAGGGTGGGAAAAATCTCTGAGAATATTTAACGACTTCCTCAAGCAGTGAGATGCAAAGATGTTGTCCAGGGTTGGAAGCTGAAGTCCAATAATATTTTGGGCAATTTTAGTAAGTCTCTGTAAAAAAAATTATCCATTTCAGAGCAACTCCCATACCATGAGAGGATACCATATGTTACGACACTCTCTATGGTACTACGATCATAGGACAGAAGTAAATGCTGAGATAGATTTATCTTCCTGAGCACTTTCAGAAAGTACAGCCTCTTCTATGCCTTCTTCACCAGAATATTAGCATTTATAGCATGGGAAGTCCTCTGAAATGTAGATACCTCAAAATTTAAAACTACTAACCTTCTACACCTCCTCACCATTTATATACAGTGGTAGTTGGCAAATTCTTAAATTGTCAAGTGTTGAAAAGATGTGTGGAGGTGTTGTGCACCCCTGGGGTCCTAGGGAAGACTGTGACCCACCCTTGGTCTAGGGCAGTGGTGTCGAACTGTGGCCCTCCAGATGTTCTTGGCCTTCAACTCCCAGAAATCCTGGCCAGCAGAGGTGGTGGTGAAGGCTTCTGGGAGTTGAAGTCCAAGA